AAAACAAATGACATCAGGGTGGCTGCCAATCAGCTGATGTGACTCAGAGAGGCTGTCAGAATTCACTCCAGCTTTATTTTCCTGTTCCTGACACTTCCCTGTAACTTTTATAAAAAGGAGACAAATGGGTAACTGTAATCACACTGCACATTATTGTAAACTGAACTCAGCTAACAGTGTTTTAATTACTGAATTTTTAAAAATCTGCCTTCTGATAGAATCTAATTGTTTCATTACAATAAAAACCCACAGCCTTTTTATTCTTTGTGCAAAAATATAGCTTATGTAAACCAATCCGGCAACCGTTTCACTCCAATTCATGCGCAGACACATTAACAGCGAGAAAAAAATGCAATTACTCTGGTTAATGTGGCTTGCTTTAATTAGACGCATCTTTGGTGACAATGCAAAAACCATCACAAATGGCAGCGCAACAGGAATTCTCAATGACTGCCATTTAGAAGCCGACAATCTCACCGTCCTCTTATTGAGTGGAATCACTGTTTAGCTTTAGAGCAAACCAGAGATGAGAGGCCGGCTTTTGTTTACTCTTGTAAGGAATCAAGGACACAGCCAGGGCTGGGCCATATTATACCGTTCACGGTAATACCGGTATAATGTTAGGCAACGATAGGAAAATGAAATATCGCGATAGAATGGGAGTAAAACGCGCATGCGCAGTGCCTTTGTTTTCATACGCACATGGCCGATTGTTGAGTGAAACAGATGAACCAGAATTGGTTTGTAAAAATGGTGCAACTTCAGTGATGTGGAACTGGTTTGGTGTTTGTCCGTCAGATACACAACAAAGCACATTTTTTTTGCAGAACATGCAAGCGGCCGTTGTTATTGTCATATTTGTCGGACTAAGATGCTCTTAAATCTGGGAGTAATCTGGGTCCTAAACTCCGTATGCTTCAGGTCAAACAACACTGCAGCATCACTTAGAGTTAAAAACTGTCTAAATTCTTTCATCTTTAATAAAACGATCAGCATTGCTGCTTTACCAGGTGTAACTATAAAGTTTAACTTCCAGGCATCCATGAAAACAAAAGTTATTACATTTAACGGAGTTAGAAGTTAGCAGGAAGCTAGCGGAAGTTAGCTCGCTAGTTTCGCTAGTTACCTAAGCATGATATTGCATGTTCTGACTGAGAGATTTCTGAAAAAAATCAAACGTACAGCTCTGCTATCACTTCCAACATAAATGAAGACAGGAAACTAAACAGCAGTGACGTTTGTAGGGTTACTGAAGTTGGGCTAGCTGGTATATAATGATGTGCTACGTAATCGCTAGCGACACAGCTATGTTAGCATAACATAAACAGTGAAGCTGGAGGACGAACACTAACACTTTTCCACTTATAAAAGTTAACGTGAAGGTTCTTCATGGTTAGAGACAAATGCAATCGCATGGCAGGATACTGTAAACGGACCAAACTTCAGTCAGGAGAACAACTGAGATAATCCATCCACAATACGAGGTTAGTCATTAATATACTGCAACAACATGGGAATAGAGCAGCTGCCAGAGAATTCAACATTAATGAATCAATGGTACAGAAGTGGAGGAAGCAAGAAGAATGAGTTTAATAAAGTTTGATTTATCTGACTGCTTTGTTTCGCTTAATGTGCCTTATAATCCCGTGCACCTTATGGTGCGAAAAATACGTACTGCACACTGCAGTTTAATGTTGCAAAGCACCTCTTTTTAACTTCAGTGGATATTATACATGGTTATGCTCAGGATATGTCAGCCCATTTGTACTGGAAATGCCTTTTGGTTAAACTTTCAGCAAGGAATTTGCATTTGCACTGTTACATTTTTATAAAGCTTTAATGTACATAAAAACCAGCTTCTTGTTTAAGTGAAAATAAATGGAAGGTTGTCTTTTTGCGCTAGTAATGTTGTGGAGTTGTATTTTGTCTCGCATCAATTATATCGTCGGTTGTATCGTTATCGCAAATTTTCAAATATATATCGTGATAAATATTTTTGGCCATATCGCCCTGCTCTAGACACAGCATTTCTAACGTTTTGTGCAAATCATCACAGAAGCTTGAAAAGTGACAATTATTCAGGCAAGGCTTAGCAAAACGATCCATTTTTGTTGCATTCTGAACTTTTAGCAATTTAATCGTAAATATCAGATCTGTATATTTGTGTTATTATTTTGTAGCTCGACTATGAGTTTATCTGAAAGTTCAAAATTTGATTGTGTATAAATGAGATGTGAACAAAACCCTTTGTTTAAATTGGAAAGGGAAATCCTCTCAGTGCTACACACTGGGGAATGCAGATATTAAAAAAAATCATTTCTTGTGAGAACCCAGAGGTTGAAAGTAAAACATGCCCCTGCTAATCAAGTTCTCCTCTGCTCCAGAACAACAATTTGAACACGTTTTAATAGTCGGTTTCTATAGAAACAGATCAATGCTGATTTCAATGATAAAATGCAGTTGAAGCCCTTAAGAGAAAGTTTTACTATTGCAACATCTTTCACTAGAAATAAAATACAAATTAATCAATTCTGTAATCCACTGCGCCTGAATTAACATTTCAATGAATACAGTAGGGGGCATCATTTCCTTGAATGAAAAGGGTTTTTTTGTTTTTTTTAAAAGCAAACGCCTGAATCAGCAACTTTAACCGTCTTCTAATGATATGCAGTGTGTTTGAGAGTGAGATAGATGATGTGCTACAGATATCTCATCTATACTTGACAAACTGGGTGTGCAAAAGTGAAAGAAAGTCTAGTGATAAGGGCCCACAGTAGAATATATTTACTGCATATTAGTAAATCCAGACAGCAAAACTGTGTGTAATTATGACATATTTAGTCTCCTTAAACAATGTAATTTGGAAGTGTGAGTGACAATTAAACTCTCTAAACTTTAGAGAGACCAGCATATGCCATTTTCAAATACGGACTGCAGCCCTGAACTATTCTAGATGTCACCCAACAGAGGTGCTGAGGTGTGAAGATGTGAGAAAGCAAATGTCACGTGAGGTTTGATTGGACATCAAACGGTCTTCAATCTGCAAGCTCCCCAGCACCAAAGAGTGCGTGTAAGCCAACTGAACACAATAATTAATTATCAGTTGAATTACCAGTGAGAAAGCAATGTTGTGTGCGCAGTTTCCTGCACATCGTCTTGCCAGAACTATCACCTAAACCAAAACTGAAAGTTCATATGTGAAAAAGAGGTTGTTCGATTTCTTATTTTGATTTCTCAGCAATCAAACTACTGTAATGTCAAATTTAGAACAGGGAAAGTTGCAACTCTTCACATTTAAAAGCAAATATTTGTGCTTTTTGTGCAATAAAGACGTCAAAATTGGTTCCTTATAAAAATGCTTATGGGGCATATGTAGATTTGCCAAGTGCTAACTAACTGTATACATAATTCTCCCAAAAAAAACCCACAGAAATGAATTCAGGATCAAAATGTAAAAAGGCTGGCATCCCCATGACGTCTCTGGGGGAGGGAACCCGGAAACAGAAACCCCCCGTTGACATCACCCCAGCAGGATTTAAAGGAAACCTAATTGGACATATGCAAATGAAAGATGTGTTAAAAATTCCTCTTTATCATTGGGGGATGCATTTTGGCACCAGTTACCATAGCTCCATAAATTTCATCTTCCCCAGCTTGGGCTTGTTGTATGATGTCAAATGTGCATCCACTCCCTATTTTCTTTCTCTCTGCGTCTTCATTTCCCTTCACAGCGTACACCCAACCCCCTTCCATATTTTGACAAGAATCAATTACAGACACAGGAATGCAGGATGAAATGTGTGGCCTGGAGCATGTAGGATTTTATATCAGACCCCACACCGGTATGGTAGTAACGACAAGGGTGGGGAAACTATAAAAACAACCCTCTGCTTCACCTTGATTACCACGCTAACGTTTCCAGTAGCTTGATATTTCTGGTAGCCAGAAGTATCAAGCTACTGGAAGTGCACTAATGAAAAACAACCAAGCAGATATGTAGGAGTTTTGGCTTTTTTACAGGATTAAAGTGCACAAGCGCCGAAGGACCAAACACCTGCTGGTGCAGCTACACATGAGAAACAGTGTGCCACTCAAGCTGAACATGATGAAAATGGACTCCAACTAGTCTGCACTAATGAGTTTTTGCAATGAAGCTGAAGGCATCTCTATGGCTAACTAAGCAGCTAACTAGTCCCCTGCTGTGGCCCAGCTGCTGGATGCGATAGTACAGCGATGAACTGGCAGAAGTACAGAGCTCTTTTTATTTATTTCCTCTTGCAATTTAGCCAAGTTGGACAGACATCACTGATGGCTCAGAGCGCATGTGTCAGATTTGGTTCAAAATGCTGCTCAGCACACAACAGACTCAACATTTACCTCGTATCAGATTCGGCCCAGCAAATAAGCACCGCAGCAATGCAAAAAAGGTTAGCATTTCTTTGATGGCATGCTGTGCTTCAAAGAAAACCAGCAGTCCTAGCCTCTCTTGTCTTCCTCCTCATCTTACAGTAGGCAGTCATAAAAGACTGCAAATGAGGGGGTTTCTCAGTATGTTCAGAGAGCAAGGCGTTTTCCCTCTCAAGGGAAGACAGATCTGATGATCAAATCCTTTCCTGTCTCCTTGTTGAGCCCCTCTCTCTGCAACGGAGCGCATTTCCCTCTCTAATGCCAGCCATGTGTCACCCACTACTGCCAAACTGTTTTGATAAAAAGCCTAACTGCTGAATGTAGGAAACAAGGAAACAAATATTAGATAAAATCCATATGTTCAATATCTAAAACAATAGAGTGGTATAACAATGATGAAAAGCAAACAAACACCCTTTTCCACTTCTTTTAATGCATTTAAGCCACAAACATCCCCAGGGAAAATAATATAAACTGTGAAGCATAAATGAGGTCGTGTTTTCAAGTAGGACGAATGACATTTGCAGCCGAATAACAAATTTGTTATTTTGCAAAAATAGGCCATATAGCGTAGCAGCATTAAAAATACATACCCCTATGGTGTATATTTGTCTTTTGCTTAGTCTCCAGATGCAGAGAGAATGAACGTGGGGAGGAAGAAGTTTCGAACAATCCTCAGTTCACCAGCGGTAAAATAGACGTTTGTGTGAAGAGCCACCCACTGACTAGGCTTGGCCCACAAAGAGACTCACTGTGAAACTCGGCCCTGAGACACATCATTATTATGATCACCCTGATCTCCAACCTCATTTTACTCCTTGCCATGATTCTCCATGAGAGAAACCACTCTGCTTTTTGATGACTGACTGTGATCCCTGCTCCCTGTTAACTGCCACACAACTATCTAGCTCTATGAGACATTATGAAACAGGCAGGCCACGAAAGCAAGCCGCCAAATACAGGAGGAAGCAGTCTGCTAGCACGCATTGCTCACTTATTATCACCATATGTTGCAATCACTGTATCTCCAGGGCTTGTAGTGCATCAGTGAGTGAGGTTGTTATCAGCTCTAGAGCAAATGAAAAGCATTTCCTTTACATCCAAGTTGTTGGCTCTGGAATACGATATGCATTTTTTGAAAATGATGAAATGTCATTAGAGGGGGATGCCTTAGTTTTACTTTCCATACAACAGATTTTTTCAGAATAAAAGCATGCTTTTCCTAGCCAACAGAATGTATTTAAACTAATGACATATGAAAAAAAATACACCAACATAGTGTTGTTTTGTTTTTTATTCTCACAAAAAAACATCTTTTTGAGAAAAGGTGCAGACAGAGCTGAAATAACTATCTAATCTACCAATCAAGACACTGAATCAGCAACCATTTTAGCGATCAGTTAACAAACTGAATCATATTTTAAGCAAAAAGGTCAAACATTTGCTCTTTCTAGCTTCTCCTCTTTGAGGCTTTGCTGATCCTCTTTCCATTTTTCTGTTTTATATCAATAAACATCGGAGGCATGATCTAAAAGACAAAGTCACATTGTAATTTGTATTTTGTGTACCAACATTCTGAAGCCCTGAGTTTAGCTATTTGACTGTTGCCCACCACATTTGGATGCAAACATTTGACTGACTGTAGCACTTGGTAGCTGAATTGTTAGCAAGATGCATACTTTACTTCGTATAATATTAAATCTTTATTCTGGTGTGTGGCTACCTTAATAGGTTGCTACCACTTGGCCAGGCAATGTAATTCTGAAACACATCACATTGCCTGGCCAACTGGTAGCAACTTGTAAAGGTAGCCACATACCCTGAATCATATTCTTCTTTCTATTTTATTGTAACTTTTAATTGTAAGTTACAAAATAAACATCATGTTGTATGAAAAAGACTTTTTATTGAGCATATAAATGTATAAAGAAGGTGTTTACTGAAGTTATCATTTGTGAGATATAGCTACTTTTTGTAAAGTTTATAATGTAACCCAATGTTTATTTTAGGTACCCAGCATTTAAAAATAACAGATATTTAGCTTAAACACAACAGTTAACCTGCTGATTGAAAATAATGAGTAGAAGTCAAAATAACCAGTTATAGTTTTATAATATCACGAATAAACATTTTTAAATTAGATTCTTAACTTTTACAGCGATGCGATTTGTGGTTCTGTGGCTTGTCTCCACTTTTGTATCTCACTTGGCATCGAAGCTGACAGTAATTATGAAAAACAAATGTCCTTTCATTGTAAGCAAATGGTGTAGATGTGGCTTTGTCTGTGACTGAGCACAAAAAAGCTTTGGCAGCGTTTGGGGGAGTGTTATTGTTGACAGTGTGCTTTCCCAGTGGGAAAACATACTGCATGACCAAATGTTGCAATGATCAGACACAGACAGTACGGCACAGTTTTGCTCATTAGCATAAAAATCTTTCTGGATACAAATCAAGAGAATAGACATGGAATTATGAGCTGCAAGTCATTCAAAACACTCTAAAGTCTAAATGTTTCAGCAGTTATAGATTAGATTTCCATAGCTGAAGGTCAGTGGGACAAAGTCATGTCATGGCACGTATTTTCTTACATAGATGAATCAATGCAAACTACCCCCTAGAGCACGATGCCTTCTATACTCTCACATCTAAATTATTATTGATGCCTTTGCAAACTGGTGATTTATTTTCTAATGGAAAACATCTCTTGTGATAACACCTCAAACAGCTATAAGCACATTTTTGAGGAGCAGACCAGTGATTATATTACCCTGTAGAATTGTTACAGAAGGGCTGGAGTGAAAATATAGCACATGCTTCATGCTTATCAGCACACACTACATGTTGGCTAACCCCTGACTGTTGTTTCACTGCAGCATCGAACTGCTGAAACTCATTTCAACACAATCATCATAGTCAAAAAAAGAAGAAGCCTCGACACTATCCAGCCTCCCAAAGTCAAAAGTTAAAAGGTGCTTTTAATGAACGAGATCCAGCCTTGTTCTACACTCCACATCTTTTCAGCTCGACACAAAAACTGACAACCCAGATATTGAATTAATGCTCGTCTCTGTCACTGGAGGCCTTCGTGATGATCAGCACATTTGCAATTTTTACAAGTCTCAGCATACCAATGTTAAAAAGAAACCCAGGAAAGGCTGTGACTCTGAAGGAATAAAATAACAGCGTGACTCTGATTTTTTTTCTTCACATAGTCAGCTAATAAAAAATTACTTGTGTGTTAAAATAGTTGTTCTGTAGTTGTTGTGAAGCGATCAAAGAAAATAAGCCATCCTTTTAAATTACCCCATTGTATTTGGGTGAAATTGTTTGCTGGTGTTATTCCAGTGCCGTCAAACTGCATCATATTTCTGAAAACACACAATGAAAATATTGAAGGACTGACATAATGATCACAAACAACTCCCTGTGCAGCAGCCTTGAAAGAATGAATAGGAAATGAGCTTCTTTAGTAAGCATCCATTATTCATTAAGCACTGTATTCCTCCATGTCGACACCCTCTGTAGTGACACAGCCAAACCATTATTTCCTTATTCTCACCATCACTCACTCTTTCTCTCGCACCAGTTACACCCAGCTTTCATGTTATCGCCATACGATCAGCTCCCAAATGCTTTACACTAGATAAACTCTACAACATGCAACAACTAGTAAACTAACTGCACTTGATGTTAGCTGAAAGAGTAGAACCCGGCAATAATGTTTTAGTAAAGACAAGAGCCACTGCAACTGAGCAGTTTATGGCGATGCAAAAGAAAGGCTATTGCATATGCTGACATATTGCAGAGAATAAACCTACCTGACATTATACAGGACTGATAACATAAGTCACAAGATCATGTGAGCCCTTTGTAAATTGTGCTGCAGAAGAGATGAGATAAGTTAATCATGCTTTCTACATGCGCTATCATCACATGCGACGCAGCCACTTTTAGACTCAATTAAAAGCCACTTAAAATGCATCTAAGCAAGAATATGGAAGTTCAGTACAGGTTGAAATTTAAAAAGAAGGTAATTCCAGATACTATTTAGAAACATCACTAATCTCCACACACAGACAGGGGGAAGGTTCAGTTTTGCGTTATTCTTTTTCTTTTTTTTAACTCTGGAGACATTGCACATTATCATAAACATCGAGCTATAATGGAATGTGTAGGTGTAACATCTGTGGACCCAAGATGACTGCATCTTGAATCACGCTAAGAATAAACAAACGAGCCTGGAAAGATATCCTCAAAAGCCGAGTCTTTTTTCTTCTTAGCTGCCAATGTGAACCCAGCCTCTACGCTGCCCTTTGTTTTCCATCGAAAATCTAATATTTGTTTTTCCAAGTCATCCATTCGGATAAAGTAAAATGGACTGAACATGTTTTAAGCCAAGAGCGGTATATGTTTGCTTTCCCTTCAGCTAAGTCACGCCACAGTGTGCAGGGAGTTAATCTCTTCTGGGCTCCACCCTACCTGCACTGAGCAGGTCACCGATTTAGGAAGCCATTTTTCAGCTAAAAATGCTTAATTTTTATGTTAGAATCATATCTTAAGAAACTGGCCAGCTGAGTCTTGTGATTATTAAAAAATACATTTTGTCCATCTGCTGCACTTCCTGCAAAACACAAGCCAGCACCAGCATAAAGACACTTTAAAGATTATAGAAATATGTGTATACCATTGTCCAAAAACCTTGTCATCTAAAAGCGTTGTGGTCTACTTTGTAAAGCTCTTATGTATCAACTTCCATAAACACAACTAAAAAACTATGCGTTGTCTGGGGTAGGTAACACCCGCATTACTACTTGTGGAGTGACATAATTCTGTATGTCCCTGGGCTATATTCTCTTATTCAAACCAGATGGGCCGAACCTAGCGGTCTGTATCCTAAAATGAATAGTAAGGATCATGAGATGGTTACATAATAATTTTTTTTGCACAAACTCAGTTTTAGTTTCTCCTGAGGCTCCATCTTTGAGGTAAAAAGCTTCCTTACTGATGCTTACAATCCAGGGTCATGCTCAGGATGTAACCTGTGATACACCATCACAAGTAGACATTATTTCATACTAACTGCTAAGATGTGTTTCCTGTCCTTGAATTTTTCCACTGCTGTTTCTAAGAGCACAAAGCCATCACAAACCCCTGTTAAATTAGCAGGCTAAACAGTTTTGCTTGAAAATGACTCACATGATTAATCAGTTATCATTATCATCATGCCAGTGAATAATCATTGTAGGTACACATAATTGAGGTGCATAAATGAGACAGGAAGCAGCTCTTTTAGTGATTTTGTTTTTTTCAAGGGGAGGGCCTAAATAATATAATTTTAAAGTCTCTTCTTTTGTGTCTCATGTGTTCAGCTCCACTGTTTTTTCACAGGGCCAACTTACAATCCTCCTTTGAACAGAGGTGAGTGAGCTCCGAAGCATCTGAAAAGAGGCAACTTTGATCTCTATCCAGCTGTTTCAATGCTTCAACTATCCAGCTGACTCTTTAACACAGCTGACAGTAAACAAAAGCAAATTTCCCCAACTTCAATTTGGCCTTACAGGGACGCTAAAATACTTAGATTCTTATCTATCCCACTGAAGCATCTGATCAGCCACAAAATCCATTCTTGAGCATGGCAACAACATCCAAGAC